GGGGGGGAGGAGGAGTATTTGCGTTGCGCAGTAGTGTTGTTGTGGTATATTGCAAAGTTGGAAATGAACCTGGCAAAGCAATGCACAAGCATTCTTTGTAACCACTGTGTTCCGTTTCTGGACGGAGTCGGAAAGCACTTTCCTAATCAGGGAAATCCCTCCCATCTCTGCCACCAGCTTGCAAAGTTCATCCTGTCACAATCAGCCACCATACCCACATTCAAGTGACATTAATCCATTACCCAACTTAACCGAAGGGACATTAATATCATGCATCATACATTATCCATTAATGAATGAATCCAGGATATCAATACCATACAATCATTTTTAAATCATACATTATGTAATGACCCACCAGAACACACAAGAACACAGACTGAGAACACTGCTGATTTCTGAGTTTTTGCCGCTGGAATGAATGCCTTGCTGACATTCCCGCGTTCTGCAGAGTAACACTTGTTTGTTTGGAAGGCCCACGGGGGCTGGTACTTACCTGCGGCCGTGACTTTGAGGGTTGCAGCGGGAAAAACACTCAAGTAGCGGGACTAGGCCCGCCACACTTAGAGCAGTGGGGGAAAACAACTAGAGTAGCAGGTAGGCCGGTACCACTCAAGTAGCCAAAGATGTGTCGGGAACTGGAGGCTGAGCAGAAGATGACAAAAAGTTGGCATTTTTAGAGGCCCAGTAGCTGTAGGTCTAGAGGTAGGCGGGTACCAGTCCAAGTAGCCTGCGTCTAGGGCCTGTGCGGACGATATCAGAGCCTTGCAATGCTGTTTCCCTCCGAAAGGGAGGAGGTACCAGTTGCTTGGAGACCACGCGGCCTGGAAGTCACGACCCAAGAGGCAGGTAGGCCGCTATATCTCCTGGTAGAGCGCTGAGCTCTACCTCATTTGTGGTATGCAAGTGTGGGCGTCATGCTGCTTGAGCGGGTGCTGGACTTCAGACTACTGCTGGGAGAAGGAGCGCAGCTCCACTAGCACTGCCTGGGAGGAGCGCCTGTGTGACCTCCCTTGCTATGGAGGAAGACCCCAGGTAGGAGGAGGAGGAAGAAGCAGACTAGGGAGGGGAGTGGCGAGATACTTACCTGGCTATGGTGGACACCATCACCGGCAGTGTGCTAGGCACTGCATCTGGAAGGCCCCAGTTGGGATTGCGCCGCACCAAGAAGGCTTCAAGGCAGAGTCAGGCATGGCGGCCTGGACAGCAGCGGACATAGCTGCTTTGCGTTGTCTTTTGCACAGCAGGGCTAGGCCCTTAGTAGTCCGCCATAGCCTTGGCCTGATTGAAGAGGAGGAAGGAGGCCATGGCTATGGTGGACCTGGGGACCTCTGTTATGCCAAGCAGTAGAAGAGGGCTTCAGACTTCGATGCTGGTTCAGCAATTCATCATTATTATTATTATTATTTATTGTTTGAATAACAGAGGAGGCGATAAGGGGGAGTTGGTTGAGTGAAGAGGGGATTGCCATTGGCCTTCTGCTGGTGTACTTCTTCTTCTTCTTCACCTCCTCCTCCTCCTCCTTCTTCTTCCTTATCTCCCCTTCCTCTCAAGTTCATTCGTTTCTTTTGAAATTGGACGGCGTTGTGCTTTTTTGTGAATTTTGCACTTCAAAATTGGCCAGGATCGTAACAATTATTATCCATTAATGAATCCAGGATACTAACATCGTAAGTTGTCCATTATCCATGAATGTATCTCGAATATTGGTATCATACATTATCCATGAATGAATCCAGAATATTGGTATCATACATTATCCAATTTATCCATCCATTATGCACTAATGAATCTAGGTTGCAGCAATTATCGATTAATTGAACAACACAACAAACAATAACATTGGCAAATTGGCAATCATTAGCCAAACCGTTCATTGAATTCGGCCAAAATCAGATTGGGAACGGGAACTTCACACAGCGTGCACTCAAAAATCGAAATCGAAACCAAACATTGATTGACAAGTAAGGAGAAAAAAAAGAGGCCGAGAGCAAATTCAATCCACAGCGAGACTGAAAAAAGGTGACCGAATGAGGAAAACTGCGGGGAAGCCAAACTCGAAAGTGATGAATCTGATGATGCACAGGAGCAAGGTGAAGCAGCAGATCAGAGCCAAAATGTGCAGGCCTGAAGCTGGCTAGGGCACCATGCAGGCCAGCCACGTGTGGACAAGAGCTCCAGTCACCACCCTCAAGACACTGCTCCAACCTATTCAAAACTCTCTCTCTCTCTCTCTCTCTCTCTCTCTCTCTCTCTCTCTCTCTCTCTCTCTCACGTGCGCGCGCGCGCAGCTTCATTTGATTTCTCCCTTTGCCCTCTGGTTGGAGTTTATACTGAAGGGATCCCTCTTCTCTCCTGCCGCTTCTGTGACCGGGAAAGCAGAAAGTAGTCCATTACTGATCCCTTCGACTCTTCGAGGATGAAACTTATCGGATCAGAGAAAGGGATCTGTGAATTAACAGCCCCATCCAAACTCATCAAGCGTCGGTTGTCTATCAACGCTCCCGAGCACGTTCTTTTCTTTTTTTTTTCTTTTTTTTTTTCAAAGGGCGATCGCCGTGAGATATCATCATTTAACTGACCGCCCCCAGGTAATTCAGAATAATGTAGTTCTGGTCATCTGATTGTACCTGGATTTAAACTTGCCTCTGTATTTCAACAGTTTGTGGGTGTACCAACTGAGAGCCTTTTTCGCTTTTCTCTTTTTTGGCCTCCTAGCCTCCTAGGCTCGTAGAGAAACTGAAGTCCAGAAAATTGAAATATACCTTCCTCACGCTCTCACACCAGCTATTCGCATTCCCCTGAAATATGTACCTGGTCCATTAGAAGTCTACATCCTGCTGATCCAGCTCTGCATCTCTACCACTGAACCCTCAGCTCTCTCTCGAGAGGTCGACCTCCAGGTTGACTTATTGACAAAAGCACCCTCCCTTACACCTGCTCTTCACTATGTCCCATAGTTATGGCTGTTCGTAACATTATCACCGAGGGCTGTGTACCTGGTCCAGCGGAAAGGCGTTTACCTGGTCAAGCTGGAATGCTGTGTACCTGGTCCACATTTAGGTGCAACACACTTGCCATTACTAACCTCCATGCTCTAGTAAAAGAGAGCTAAGCTCAGCAGTGGAGGCAGGCCCTTTGCTATATCGAAGTGGCCTGCCTGCGTCCAGTCCCAGGAAGCTTCCAGTAGGCCCCGGTAGCCTGAGGCCCAGCACGATCGAGAACAGGCCTGGGGCCTGAGGTGGTTGCATGCACCCAACTGCCTTTGGCATGTGTTTGGCCCAGTACCCGTATCCAGCCCAGGGCCTGCTTGCCATACATTCACACAGGCGGCCCAGGGCCTGGGTTTTCTCAACCAACTGGCGCTGCGCAACTACCTGAATTTCCTTAGTTGCACAGTGGCCGAAATAAGGCCCTGAGGGCCTCGTCGAGCCTGCCCTTACATAGGGCGGCTGACAGGCTCCAGTAAGGGGCCGAATAGGGCTCATAGAGGCAGTGGCCTCGCATGGTTCTCCGTTGGTTCTATATCGGTGCATTTCTGCTTTCTGGACAGCGTTCAACTTTCTAGCTTTCAATGTGATTTTGCATTCTGGATTTCTATCATTTCGCTCTCTCTCAATTTCCTTGCAGAATTAAATAAAAAATTATAAAAACTTAAAAAAAGGGCAGAGCCTCTGGATTAAATTTTTAAGTTACTTACGTTCCTTTTGTTATTTTTCTTTTCCTTTTCTTTTCCTTAGTTTCTTTTGAGTCTTTTCCTTTTTTTCTTTTCTTTTCTTTCCTTTTTTTTTTTTTTTTTATTCCCCTCCCCCCCCCCCTTCCCCCCCTTTTTTTAACTGTCATTCTCTTTCGTATAGCACATATATTGTGCGCCCTTCCAATTTCAATATAGATCGTATACCATGATTACAGAATAATAACAGAATTAAAGTTCAATTAACTATATTCATTATTCAATAACAAAACAACTGGCTCGCTCCACGAGACAACATTGCACACGCATTGGGCTTAGATCGTGGCCCAGTACATTCACAGAATTTCAGACTGATGCAACATTTTGAATGTATCCGGACCATTGCAGCGCCAGGTACATTCTTGAATGCTGTCTAATGAAGGAAGGCCCAAAGATGCCAGAATTTCTGGCAAGGAAACAAAGGTTGTAACACTTCCCCAGCCAATATAGGCCAGGAAAAAAAAAACAAAGAATAAATAGAAATTTTAAAATTTTAAAATAACTAGAAAATAGATTGCACCTGGGTCTGCGCGATCGTTGACCCAACAGACCCTGAACTACCGGCTTGAGAAGTCTGCATTGCTGAGGTAGACATGGCTTCCGAAACTGCGGCCTCACTCACGAGTGTCCTGCTAGCCTCTGCTGCACTAGCCCTCCTCTGCTGTTGCTGCCTTTCCCTAAGCTGGCGGAACAGATGTTTGTCGCCCTCTGGTCCTAATGCCAAGTGGGCTACAGGGCGCCTTGCCGATCGCAAGATCCAGTCGTCTACTTGGTGTTCCTCCCTATCGCTCATAAGCTACAGACCTGTACACAATCTGCACTATTGCACACTGAATGCCTACCGCAGCGTAGTGCACAGATTAACAAAGTGATTGGTTGCTATTTCGGAATAGATATCACTTGAGGTCAACAGGTAAGTCAGATTCCTACAAATAAAGCTATTTTTAGTTTGACTAGTCCGCAAACAAAAGCATCATGAACAAAAGCAGTTCTAACTAATGTTGTCTGTCAGATGTCAATGGCTGTACACCTAACTAATCAAAACATAAAAATAGAATTATTTGTGTGGATAGAACAGCATGGAATTTTCTCGAACTTATCACCTGGAATTTACCCCTCCCTCAGTTCCCCTGAGTATCACTTGACGTCAGCGTCCCTGAGCAATCCGG